ACGCCGCGCCTATTAATGGAATGGTCTTTCTGAGTTCTCAAACAAATTAGAGCTACATTCGATTTTTATTGACTGAACGCAAGCGCTTATTGCAATAGAAAACACTGTAACGTTTCCACTGATTAAGAAATATTTTTGTTTGCTTGGGTGGTAATATTAGGCCTATTATATTAATAGGGAAGGGGGGCCCAAAAATGTGTTTTGCCTATGTCACGAAAAGAGGTAAATCCGGCCCTGTCCATCGGTGACAGAAACAGTTGCAAAATACGGCACGTGTCACATTTCATTCTTGGGTAAATGATCCCTTTAAGGAAATGTATAACAGGCAATCAAATCATTGTGAAAATGTGAAAGGTCCAAAGGTTTTCTGCATCCAGATGAACATCTCATTGGGTATTTGCCATTATTTGTTTTTCTTCTTGTCTAGTTCCTGGTATAGAGACCAGATGTAGCTTAGCACCAGCTGTGGACATACTGGCCTACAGTGAGAGAGAATGGAAGGGAAACACGACCAAAAGCGCTCTCATCAGAAAGGTGACCTAACTAACTTTGTGATATTTTTTTCCTGAAATGTATTTAAAGTATGCTATTGATATTTTGATTGACATGTCTGTGCTTGTTTAAGAAGTCTGACTTACTTCAGTGTGTTTGTTTAAGGGCTACAGTGAGATGTCCCGTAGCTTTAGCGGTCTGAGGAGAGTCAGAGGCGATAACTACTGTGCCCTACGAGCCACACTGTATCAGGTGCTGGCAAACAGCACAAATATGCCCACCTGGCTGCAGGATGAAGGCTTTCTATTAGTGAGGAGACCTCTGTTCTCGTAATAACTTCAGTCAGGGTAGACACCATATGTAATTTGACTTTAAAGTGACTTTAAAACCCTGGAGCTGTCAAAAGTGTCAAAGCGCGTCATTCTGTAGATTTTAGCTGACAAATAAACAGCTAGATCCTGGGTGCAGGTAACATGGAGAAGGAGTACTGATTATTCGTTTGCGTCAGATAACATATGGCTTCTACCCAGACTAAGGTTTATAAGCTGACAGTAGGAATGTTAACATGCAATTTTCATCAGTCAGAATGAATCCAGTCCGATTTCACATTCTTAAAGTTCTGATTATATGAACTGTAAACATAGCAATCCGGTTCACATATTCGTTTACATGTGCATTACTTGTATTTCATACACAACTTTACTGCATGCGTATTGCCCAGTCGTTGCATGCAAAAACAGAGGAGGTCACCATATAATGTCACCAGAGCAAACGTGAGCATAATTAAAGCTTTTGCCTTGACACTGCTAAAAAAAAAAGCTTAAATATATGAGAAGAGTTTATATAAACAAATGTTCAGTAAATATTCAGTTTCATGAACTTGAGCAGTTCACAAGACATGAAACATAAATAAACACTTTTTTTAGTTTGTATGACATAAAACGTATGTAAACATACACATCATGGCACAGGTACTATATTTTTGAATCTGATTGAGAAAACAGTCAGATTCAAATGTTTATATGCTTAATTTTTGCCTGTGGATCAGATTATTTTAGGTCTATACCACCCCTTTCAATTCATTCGGATCAGTTGAGGTGTTTACATGAAGGCTTTTCAGTCCAATTGAGCCATCAATCTGATTAGAAACAGATTATTTGGATGTGTGTAAACGTAGCTAATGTATGTGTTGTTTTCTAGCTCAGATTAACAGCTGCTGGTTATTCTCACAGTTACCAGAGAGGATTGAAGCTCAGGAGCATTTGATTGCTAGATGGGTGTTTCCTTCTGAATGCAAGTCAGGAAGTGAGAAGGAAAGTTCTGTGGAGAGACTGAAATGTTATTTGGATCTCCTTAAGAAGAAGGTGAATCTCTTTTTTTCTGATGTGCATTCCATATATCTTATTCAAACATAAAATAGATTAAGTACGTTTTTTTTTAAAGAAATGAATCGTCATCTATTAAATTAATCAAAAGTGACTGTAAAGACATTTAAAATAATTGTAATAAAAATATATTATTTCAAATAAATGCTGTTTTTTTTAACGTATTAAACTTTAGTATGAAAGCCAGTTCCTACCATGGAATAAAAAAGGTAATTACAGCCTTTTATCTCACAATTCTGACTTTATATTGATCCCCATTGTGAGTTAACATCTGGCAATTCTAACATTTTGTTGTTTTCATAAATGGAATGCATGCAATCTCATATTACTTTCACGAAATGAATATTTTGTTCATGAAATGCATTTTGTGATTGATACAGACCCTTTTGTTCACCAATATCAAGCTCATTTTTTTATTTATTTAAAGTCGTCAAAATTGATTCATGATTCATTATTGATTTAGTATTATATGCAGATTTCAAACATCACTTGGTTGCATCGAAACAGGCAATAATACAAAATATAAATTTAATAGTAAATAAATGAAAATAAACAGTAGTGTATTATTGCATATACTACAGTATTACACAGCTGATAGTGATTGGTCAATCACAGCAATTAGTGTACATTATCCTCTACCAAGTAAAATTCAGCTTCTTTTTAAGTTTAATTAGAGAAAATATCATGATCATTTCTGTGTTTTCATGCATTTGTATATTTTATTTGCTTTTAATTCAGTGGCAGGCAGCAGTGGCCTGTGAGAGCCCAGAGGAGAAGAGGAGGGAGGAGAAGAGGAGTATGGTCTTCTGGAAGCACTAAAGTTTCTAATGCTGGCCAAAGCTGTTGAGCTTCATCAAAACATGATGGCAGATCAAGAAGTGCCTGTGTTCTGCTGGCTTCTTTTTGCCCGCGACACATCAGAAACCCCCCAAACCCTTCTAGCCAATCACCTGAGCCAGATCGGCTTCAGTGGAGGGGTAGAACAGGCAAGTATGATGACACTGACAAACTTACAGCTCTATTATTCAATATGAAGACACCTGCTTTAATATATACTGGCAAAAAAATACAATTTGAAAATGTATGTTTGCTTTGTTTGATGTAGGTAGAGATGTTTCTGTTGGGCTATGCCTTAAAGCACACCATTCAAGCCTTCCGACTATATATGACTGACACGGACTAATTTGTGACACATTACCCAGACGACCACAAGCAGGAGTGGCCCTGCGTGTGTATCGTCACAGAGGACGATCGCCATTACAATGTCCCTGTCAGGAGGAGCGTTCAACACCAGCACAGAGAAGATATCACGATGACCTAACAAGAGACCTCAGAGAACAAATCTGATCTACAAAGTGGCATGATGTTTGGCATCATTTTTTGATAATGATCTGTAGGTCATCCCGTGAATAAAAAGATGAAGGGAATTTACAGCAAGATCAAATTGCAAACAGAAGTGCTCAGGTTTTTCCCCTAAATGAATCAAAGAGCTAACATCAGACTGTCAGGAAATGCTGTGATGATTAACACTGGTTCAGAAAGGGGAAAAAAAAACAACCCTTACTGCCTTTACTTTAATCCTGTTATTTTTTGTATTATGCACTGTTGGAAATTGTGTTGATTTACATTGTCAATGTAAAAAAAAAAAATACTAAAGCGTTTACAACAATAATTTAGAGAATTTTTCATTCAAAAGAATGTATTGTGGGTATAGTACGGGAAATGAGATAGTGGTCTACTCACTGTACTTCAGATTTATGTTTTCAAAATATAAAACATCTAGAAAATAGCCATGGGCACTGACTGAAGCATTTATTTATTTTTTTACAAAATACAGTCAGATATGTCGGGTCATTTTTCTAAATATTGTTACATAGAAATGGAAAAGTTTCCTGTACTGGTTTAGATTTTTTTTTTTGCCATAATATTTAAATGAGGCTCTACACACAATATTGTCAGTTTTAAAATTAGAGCACTTAGACTCTAGAAGTCAGATAACTAATGTTGCCCTCATGTTATGTTCACATGTAACAATAATGTGCATAAATCACGTTAGCAGACAACTGGTGATATAGATGCCAAGAAGAGTTCAAAATGGCTTAATATTTAGCTCATTGTGGAGTGAAGCAAAAGTACTTTAGCAATACTTTTTATTTTGGTGGTATTTTCTTTTGTTGCTCATCTGAATTTTTGTATTTGTGACTGACAGATTAACACTGACTAACTTTATTGCCAAACATACGTTATACAGTATTATGTATAATTCTAATTTTTCAAGAACTGGAAGACAAAATCTTTTGAAGAAATATGAATAAATTATTCTATGACTCTATTCAGCCTCTCACTTTTATATGCACAAAACACAAGAAATGCGAAAAAGAACTGCTTAGCACAACATTTGTTTAATAGCCATAATGCATTCATATGTGCTTGGTTTATTTGTATGTGCTGACATTCAGTTAGACCACAATCACAGAGTAACATAAGCACCTAAACAGGACCTAAAAACTGCCAAAACTACATTCCATTTAGTAATTTGCAAAACACATTGAAAGTGAAGCGTACCATTAATTTCAAAGATCTGGAAAAAAAAAACGATTCTATAATGTGGTCCCAGCACAAAATATTGGATCAGATCAAATCTAATCAGAAATTATCTCTTCATGCATTCACAAAAGCTCAAATAAATAGTCTTTTATATAGAAGTTATCTTCAGACTTAAATGTCTCCATAATGGCATTTGCCAAGTATACAAAACCTGAATTTGTGCAGTGAATACAAAAATAAAGCAACTGACATATACAATCAAATCTAGTCTGTGCCCCAAGTCAGTAAAATAAATTCCTCTTGAACAAGTTATAATACACTCAAAGTGTAACTATTCATTGTGCGTCTCAAGGCAAGAGGAAACAGACCGTATTTCCCAGGGTAAATAGGTCAGATAACAGTACAGTCATTAAAACATCTTCCAAGCCCGTTCTTGATGCATTCTTTCTCCAAAGATTTTTTTCTGATTGTAAGGGTCTATTTTGGCAAAAATGTTAACAGGCTGCAGAACATGAACTTTGTGTGCCAGAAGACATCTGCGTAAATATGCCTCGGTGCAAAAAGTCCAGGAGTGCATTTTATGTAGACATGCAAATCTGCTCATCCTACCCCAAACAAGCATCGATCAATCTGACAGTCCCACTGGGGTAATGGAGCGATTGTAGAAATTAAAAAAATTATAATAATATAATGATAAAGTACTAGTACTAGTACTAGTTAGACTCTCATCGTCAAAAATCCAAAACATTGTACAGCAAATGAAAGGAAAACGTATCTTCCACCCTTGTTTTTCTTTCCATGCCTAAATTCATTCATCTTCTGTTTCCATCTGCTCATTCTCAGCCTCTTCAATGACATCTAACTCTGTCCTGGAGGTGACTTCATTCATCGGGGAAGAGTTGTCCTCCACAACCATTTCTGCTTCTGGGGTTTTCTTCTGAAAACAGACCATAAGACTGATAAATATTGCAGAATAGATACGAAACGTTTAAAAGTCAAAAGGCATGTTTTAGTAACACTTTAGATTAGGGAGCACTATTCACTATGAACTAGTTGCTTATTAGCATGCATATTACTAGCATATTGGCTGTTTATTAGTACTTAAAGAACATATTAGCTTTATTCTGCATGACCATATTCTAGATTCCTTAACACTAAACATAATTATTACAACAACTACCTTACTTCCTATCAATAAGCAGCAAATTAGGAGTTTACTGAGGGAAAACTCTTAAGTTAATAGTGAATATGTGTAATCTAAAGTGTTACTCCATTTTAATAATTGTTCTAGAATTAAGAGAATAGCAAAATTCACACACAAATATTGTCACGATCTCCAGCTGGAGTGCCCATGAACTCCACCAGAGGGCAATCCACCCCTGACTCTTGCCACTCTACCTGGGACTACATTTTCCCATAATCCTTTGCCGGACTCATCACTGATTGCCTTCATTGCTCGTTACCTTATCAATCTCACACTATAAAAGATGCACTCATACACACACTCATCGTTGAGTTTTGCTAGCCTGTAGTGTTTCCAAGTTCCTGTGTTTTCTTGTGTTCCTTAGTTCTTGCCTTGCCTTGTTTTTTTGACCTTGGACTGTTTACCGTGTTTTTGCTCGTTTGCTGCCTACCCTGGCCATTGCCTGTTTATTGGATTACTCTTTTGTCTCGCCCTGTATTTTTCCTGTTTTCTGGTGTTTGACCTTGCCTGTTTTGACAACTCTTCTGAATAAAGCTGCATTTGGATTCTCAACTCCGTTGTCACGCTCCCCACGTTACAAATATAAACATATCGTTGGAATTTTTAACTTGAATGTGTAAGGCATCTGGTGTCATCTGCTTCCAGATATTTTAGCTGTACAAGAGTCCGTTATGCTGCTTGATGTTACAAACTGATTTATTATCATAAACATGCAAACAGCATTATGTTTATTGCACTTATTCTTAGTTATTTATGTATAGAGCCTAATGAATCTGAAGTCTTGCACATTCACAGAAAATTGCTTACTTTCACACTGAAAAGTAAGGTAGATAGGACACTAGCTGTAATATTTCTGCAGAATTGTTGACTTCTGCAGTCCGATGGCTCCTCACCTGTTTTCGGTGTACACAACAGGCAGCCACTGCGACCATGGTGGACTCCCCCACGAATCCTGCTAATAAAGACCCCACTCCCAGTGTGGCACCATGCACTCTGCCCAAAGACAAAACCATCAACATGATAAATGTGATTTCAAAATAATACCAACTGATTTTAATGCTGTACAGTTGTAGCGCAGTGTTGCTATGATCAAAAAACCCATTAAAGAACAATTTTCTGAGCTTATATTAAAAGTTGCTGCAGCAGTCTGCATTAGCTGAGGAGCGGAGTCATAATTACTTCACAAAATGCAGACAGGGATTTGAAATGATTTATTTTTAGACTCACTAAAAATTCAGAGGCAGCAAGAGAGCTAATTACTTCATAGATCACATAGTGAGCAGAGAAGCACATTCAATGATATTTAAAAGAGATGCATTTAGCATATTTGTATATTCCTCCTGTATACTAACCCCATGTAAGGCAGCACTAGAAGGCTGGTGATGAGCACAGCGATGCGCAGAACTGAACTAGGTGCCAGAACACAAGTTCTCTTCAACGTCATTAACCAGCCCGTCAGATGAGCTCGAACTGTAACTGATAGCAACACAGACACAAGGTCACATAGATATAATGCACTGTAAATTATATAAAGTCATATAAAAGAAAAGACTTTATGGTACCAGGCACAGGGAAGAAGGAAAAGACTCTCAGTGGAATGATGCAGAGCTGTGCGAAGGCCATATCCACCCCAATGACATCTACCAGGATGCGTTCAGAAACATGAGGGGTCCAGAATACAATGAAACACATCTGGAAAACAGACACAGGCATGTGCACTAATTACTTAATTTAGCAGTTTTGTGTCAAAATGTGACATCTATTATATATATATATATATATATATATTAGTGCTGGGCAACGATTAATCGCTATATTTGCTTAATTAGTGAAAAATCGCTAATGAATCCAAAATAAAAGCTGTATGTGTGTGTGTATTTATATATACATAATAAATATACACAGT